TTTTTTTTCTTTCATATTCATACATCTCGATGTAGAGATGATCAATTAGAGGCTCTTTGAATATTAATACAACTTTTTTTATGGATTTTTGAAGTGCATATGTAATTCTACATTTTAAGGTTGCAACATTATATAAACTTTTTCTTTGACAAATATAATCATGTTATTTTTAATAATCACCTTCATTTTGAAGATTGAGAGCACCCTGAACAAGCAAATGTTATTTAAGTGCTTCCACCCATTTAAGTGGTCCAAGCCATGATAATACCACTAGTTGTTTAAGGATTAACAACACAAAAAAGGTTTATTTGAGTGAATGAAACTAAAAAAGTAACCATTGTAAAGTTAAATGAGATGATTTGATCACCTTAAAGAATTTGGAAGTTATGTGTTGCTGAACAACCAAACAAATTATCAAAATGCTCTTAGGTGTTCCGGGTGTAAATCTTCAACAAAATTTGGTCATTTTTTAACATATTTCAGGGGGTATTTGAGTGAATGAAACTAAAAAAGTAACCATTCTAAGGTGAAATGAGATGATTTGATCACCTTAGCTATCTTTTAAAAGTGGTTTAAGTATTTAAATGGTATTTTTTCAAGCGTAATGACACTATGACACCTCCCACATCCATATGAATAGGACTTCAAAGGATCGCCATTAAATTTTGACACAGATCTCTAAAAAAGTTATTATATGAGTGTAGGACTTGGGTGAATGGGTTTATTGATAACTTTTCTAGAGATCTATATCAAAATATAATAGTAATCTTTTGGAGTTCTACTTACATATGTGTGGAAGGGTCACATAGTATCATTACTCTTTTTTCAAATAAACATAAAGAGCTATAATATATAGTAGTCTCTCTCATTGATTGTCCACAATCCATTAAATATTGGGTGGTGTGAGCATGAAACCCTGCAAACACCATGAGCCCCCACTGGAATCCCAAATTTTTAGCATACACTTTGTATAAGGTGTTGACTTTAAATAATTCGAACAAAGCATACATCTAATTCTTGCAAAAAGGTGTTAATCTGGTGTTAGAAATCCTTATGATGCTTTAGAAATTAACCCTAATTTTGAATTTTGAATTTTCAAAAATAGTGTGCATCGTGTAGATAAACATTCAATTTTTTTTGGAAACAGATAGTCTAAATAATGTGTACAAGATACTTATATTTAGGTATTGAAATCCACTTTTATTCATACATCACAAGATTGATGTCAGAACAACCTTTTTGGGTGGATTTTGAAGGTTCTACAATATAAGGTTCGGCACTTTATATAATTTTTTTCTATTTTTTTTATGGATTGAAGACCCAAAAACCGTTCTTTAGGGTTATTGAGACCCCTCGCATGTGGAATTAGGGTCCCAAGTAAGGGAACCCACCCAAGATCGTATACATAATTGATTAAATGCGAAATAAATGAATACAACCGTAAATCGAGTGCAATAAATAAAGAAAAAATAAAATCACACAACGATGACGCACAATTTACGTGGTTCACCCAGTAAGACTACGTCTATGACCTCAGTAAGTAGAAATCTGCTATCTCTATGAAGATTACATTTTTGAAGTACAATATATATATATATATATATATAAGGTTAGAAGTCCCAAATAGGATACTTCTTATGTGTTACATTTATCTCAAGAACAAGAGATATATCTAGTGTATTAATCTTTTTGGAATTTTATTTTTTTAAAAAAATTTATCAATATCAATCACAATCCAACAAAATTTAAGATAAGTGATTGTGGATAATCATCCTATCCAACAGATTACTTACTTAATAATAAAAAAATGCATCTAATGTGTCAAGGGATGCAATTCAAAAATTACGTTTCCGTCACACGAAATATCCATCTTGAAGATGAGTTTCAAAAAAAGGTGGGGTCTACAGAAAATTAAGATGAACACCGCCAAAAAACATCAAAAGGACCATATTGTTTTAAAAAATAATAATGTTTGCCATGGTTGAGATTCTTAACCCCTAAAATTAAAGATCCAAAATATATCTCTAAAATGAATTTCGGAGGGGGAAAGCACATAAATAGATGTGTCAATTGGGTCATCAAACCCTTATCTATAACAAAATTATAGACGGGAATTGATTTATATATTACACCATTCAAAAATTGGCTCTCACTATGAAATATTGAATGACTTGAAATAGAAGGGAAATGTTGACTTTTTATAGGCAATGTTATGCAATTTTGTTATGGATAGGGGTTTGATGACTCAATTGATTCACCTATTTGTATGCATTCCTCCTTTAAAATATAATTTTAGAGATAGATTTTGAATCTATAATTTAGGCGGTTAAGAATCTCAACCATGGAAAACATTATCATGAAAAAAAAATGGTATGGATAGGAGTTTGATGACTCAATTGATTATCTTTTATATGCATCCTTCCTTTAAAATCTATTTTAAAAATAGATTTTGGATTTAAAATTTTAGTGGGTTGAGAATCTCAGCTATGGCAAATGAGTACTAAAAAATGGGTCTCACTATGGAGTATGGAATGCGTTGAAACAGAAGGGAAATGTTAAACAATGCTTCAAAAACACGTCTTTTGGTTATTATTACTATTATTATAGGCGTGGTTTGCATAAGGTTGCAACCCTAAACAATCAAATTAAGATGCACACATAAACTTTATTATGTGTAAAAAAGTTTTAAGATAGGCCTGAAAATCTATTTTTATCTTTAATTATAAAATTTCAAGATCCAAAAATGGTTCAAATCAAGAAAATATATAAATGTATGAAAAATCTTGAAAATAGACGGTCTAAATAATGTGGTGTAAGATGCACGATTTTTTAGACTCAAAATCTATTTTATTTTTCATATTCATACATCTCAATGTCGAGATGATCAATTAGAGGGTTTTTCAACTTCCAAATATTTTACGATAGATTTTGTAGGTACAACTTCATTCTACATTTTAAGGTTGCAACCTTATATAAAGGTTTTCCTACTACTACTACTACTTCAAAATAGCCTTTTACAATAGATTTTTTACATGCACATTCATTGTACATTTTAAAGTTACAACCTCATATAAAAATTTTTCTACTAATACTATGTTTTAAGGTTGCAACCTTATATAAACTTTTTCCTAGTACTACTACTTGAAATTGAAAAAGTATACAATGAGACCATTTATCTTTGGTACAAGGTGGTCACAATTGATCTTGACCATTGGGTGTGAAATTGAGTGGCTACATTTATTGCATTGACTAAGATCAAAGTCAAAAAAAAAAAATCTTGAACTTTGTGACACATCCAAGTTATCAGATTTTACATTGGTATGGTCACAAGTAATTGTGACCTCCTTGTATCAAAGGTAAAGAGTCTCATTGCATACAATCCCTTAGAAATATTTATTTTTAAAATAGTAATCAAATAAAAAATATACATATAATTATAATAAATAATAATGCTATGAATAAAATATATTATGTTTCTCATGTGTTACTCATAATTTAATATTTTTATTTGAGAATTACAAATTGAATGAATGAATGACCTAAAATACATTACAACATAATTATTTATACTCACATATTTTAAATAATACGTGTTCCATATATATGGTATTCACCTAAAATACATTACAACATATTTATTTTTACTTTCACATATTTCAAATAATATGTGTTCCATATATGGCATTCTTCTTTCATAAAAAACAATATACCCATAAAATGAGAGCAGTGGAGTTGAGGATATTGAAATATATGAATGGCAAGACAAGAAGAGGTAGAATCCAAAATGAATCCATTCAAGAAAGTTTAGGCGCAACACTAATAGGCAATAAAATGAGAGAGAGTAGACTTAGGTGGGCTGGCCATGTGTGGCGTCGACCTAGTACAACACATGTTATGAAGTCCGAATTAGTTCAAGTGGAAGGATTGAAAATATCAAGGGTTAAATCCAAAAAAACGTGGTTGGAAGTAATTTGAAAAAATATGAAAACTTATGGCCTCATTAAAGGTATGACCTTAAATATACCATAATGACATACTAAGATTCGTGCAGCCGACCCCAATTAATTAAAAAAAAACTATGATGATGATGATGATATAGTATTCTTCTTTCTTAAAATCTCTCAAAAGTATATAGGTTTTCTCCATAATCATCATTATAGCCTTTTAGGTTTTCTCTATAATCATCATTATAGCGTTATAGGTTTTCTCTACCCTATACTAAAATATCTCTCTATCAAAAAATAATAGAATTTGCTTGTTATGGAAAATAGAAAAGACACTCTACATTATGCCTTTCACTTCTTCATTTGAAAGCCATATTCCCTACATCGTCTCTAGAGATAGGGTCTGTCTTTATTCTTAGAGAGATAGGGTCTGTCTTTATTCTTACAACATGTGTCTATCTTTTAATTATGACATAATCAAACAATTTTTAAATATCATACTAAGGTCATTTATCTTATTTTAATTTGTACACATGCACTCTTTTCACTTTAATGAACAATAAAAAATAACAAAATTTGAAAAAGCATATTAGAACATGAACTTTTAATCTAATTTACATACGCCATCGTTTTGATAAGATGCTTAGATCAAAGTTTTAGAGGCGTTCTTTTTTTTTTCAAAATTTTTAAATAAATTCCCTATCATTAAATAAAGAATATTAGAAAAGAAAATTTTGATTTTGAGTTTATAAAGGTTTGGATCTTAGAATTGACCAAATTGACCGTTTGGATTCATTGTTAGAGAAACTCATCTTGATCATATCTAAGGTACAAATTGAATTTTATTTTTTAGATTTAATTGCTGAGATGAGAAGACAACATGTGCATATTTTAGGGCCACACAAATACCACAAAAATGCTTTACTAGTACTATGGTTTTATTATATAATAAATATCAATGGAGGGAAATTTATGAGCAATTCAAATTGGGACATGACAAAATAAGCCTTGCCAAAAAATAATACCAAGAATCAATTGCAATAAGGATAGAGAATTCGAAAACCACTATTAGAAATCTTTAATCTCTGAAATTCACTTAATTTTTTTTTTTTAACATGCTCAAATGGATCGAATGCCTTGGCAATTACAAGCATATGATCCATGTCTTGACAAAATGACATCTGTGAGGTTGAAGAGCAACCATGATGTGTGGCCTCTAGGATATTGACTGCCAATTCTAGCGATACAAGATCTAAACTATTCAGTTCTCTTTATCAAAAGGTGCCATTAGAACCTTTCTTGTGATCCACCATGCATCACAATTTAGATGCAGGAGAGCGAGCCTGAGCCACTAAATCCTTCCTAAGAATCTTTCCGGCAGGTGATTTTGGAATCGAACCCACGAAAGAGAGTTTACGAATCTTTTTGTATGGTGCAACCTGCAACAGAGAAAATGCAGTTCAGTAGTCGGGACAAGATGTAGGGGTGGGCAAACAAGTTTCTATGGTTAGTTAAGCATTATCAAGACGGGCCACCGGCTGATCCAATCAACCAGATGACTAACCAATGCCTTGGTCGGCCAAATCAAGACAAAAACATAATTTGGTCGAAAATTAGTCGAACAATTTCTGATAAGTTCCGATTTGTCAGAGGGGCCAGTTTTAATCAGTTGGACAGGCTAAACAAGGTTAACCTACTCTTTTATTGCAATATATTTCATATTTTATATTTTCTTTGCTTTGTAAAAAGATCCAGTTTAACTTTTGTTCAATTGGCGGGCGAAATGGTATTGACTCGCCTAAACCCCGAACCAGTTTAGTGGCAACCCCATTCTGATAATATTGATTAAAACTTGAAAGCCTTCGTCATCTGATTTCTAAAGTGGGTTCTAAAACCTGTTGCTGTTCTGCATAAATTGTCAATCTTTTCTGTTGGAGATTGCCAATGATTAAAAAAACCATTTTGTCACTAACTGTGAACATTAACTAAAATTTTTGTATAACATCTGTTTTCACACGGTAAATTGAGTTAACAGTAGAAACCTAAACCTCCATGCCCTGACCACCAAACTAAGAACCCAAACCCTCTGACCTCCCCTCCACATAAACACTAGGTTTTTTGAACTATTTTCTACTATACTAGAGCAACCCTCACACAAAGGAGCCAGGGTTCAAAATCAGTGCTCCAAGAGGAAAAGGAAACCACTTACAGTCATGCTTCTTAGTTTAGTGTTGGGATGTAAAGGATGCAACACAATGGCAACACTATGATATAAGGCTAGACATACCCACCCAAATAGTAAGTAGTTAAATAAATGAAAACGAGAGAATTAAGAATTGAGGAAAATTGCCTGCTTGGCAATGAATTCCATGACTTGCTTCTCACTAAGGGAGCTACCAGGCCTCCGGACCACAAATGCCATAGGTATTTGCCCTGCCTCTTCGTCAGGGTATCTGCATTTCACAATTGAATGAGCATTTTCTTGATAAAAATTTCATCGTTGAGATACAAAATCAAGATAATACAAGCAAGGCATTAACCATTTTTCTAACCAACCAATAGAAGATCAAAAAGGTTTGGATGACAAAAGTTTGGGACATAGATATCATGGGGTACAATGGTAACTTTAGAGTGAAAACACAGTAATATTCATGATCAGTGTTGGAATGCTTACGGTATAACAGCAGCGTCTGCAATCTCCGGGTGAGACAGTAAGAGGTGCTCCAATTCTGCAGGGGGAACCTGCATTTGAAAGGGAAAAGTCGAGCATAAGAGAGCGAGAGAGGGAAAGAGAAATCAATTATGAAAGAGAGATAGGGGGAGGATTATGATAGGATTGGCCTCCAAGGCTAGGCGGATAGGTTGTAAAAACATGACATCTAGAATTCCATTCCTAACGAGGTCCCTCAAGCTAATATTCAAAAAATTATAACAATAAAAAGAGAAAAAAGAGAGGAAGGATTATTATTAGGCATTACAAAGTAATGGATGATTGTGTTAGAGAGGAGAGAGAAGACAATGACAATGAAGGGAATAAGTTAGTATTTATAAGATTGTACAAGGGTGAGATAGAGAGAATATTACTTGATATGCCTTGTACTTGATCAACTCCTTGAGCCTGTCAACCACGAAGAGATAACCCTCGTCGTCTATGTAGCATAAATCTCCTGTCTTCAACCATCCTTCATGGTCTAAAGTTGCAGCTGTTGCCTCTGCATTCCCAACATAACCTGTACCCACCCATAAACATCCATTTGAAATCCTCTTCTTCCTTTTGCCAAAAAATGAAAACCAGATTTCAGAGAGAGAGAGAGAAAGCATGAAAAAGACAAGTTAAAAAGAGAATGGATGAGAATTGACAGCCTGGAAAATAAAAATGACATAAGTTTTAGCATCAATTTGTTTGGTTTTTCTAGGACAAACCTTATAAGATCCGAACCTTTGATCTTCCTCACCAGCCTGATATGTCTACGGACATAAGGCATAATTAGGAGGTAGGTTGAGTTATTTAACTTTTCGGGACAAACTACAAGGCTTGACCTACCTCACCCAAACTGATATTTCCACCACTAAGCCAGAGCCTAAATGACAAACAATGGTATTTCAATTGTTTGGTGTGGTGCTTAACTTTGAGGTTCTAGACCTTTAAACTCCCCCGACTAATATATCCACAACTAAGCTTAAACCTAAGGGACTAGTACTTTAAAACTCGAAGGGACATTATCACCTTATCTGGCTGCACCATATGGAATTTGGCATATTCCGAAACGCTTTGTGCAAAGACAAGCATTGAGGCCCCCCAAAAGGGCCTCAATGCTTCACTGATAGAAGAAGGCACACACCCCCCCCTGCCCCCCGGGCCTGTCTTCTCTCTCTCTCTCACAAGGGAATGGTAGGAGGAGTATTAACTTACCTTTCATATTAGTAGGGCTCCTTAACCAGAGCTCCCCGCGCATGCCAGGTGCCAAAGGCTTGTTAGTTTCAGGGTCAACAATTCTTGCCTCAATGTTAGCTGAAAGCTTGCCAGCTGATCCGTGTTTCTTATTCTCCAATCTAGTGGTCCGGGTTGCAGTGCCAGTCGATTCTGTAAGCCCATATCCCTTTTTTCATAACAAAACAAACCGCAAAAAAAAACAAAAACAAAAAAACAAACAAAAGGATTAAGGTCTTCTTTTACAAGTATACCAAACCACACAGTATACAGAAAATATATTACTCTTGTTCTAATTCACCAACATCAACAACCCATTATAGAGAAACAAAACATAACCATCCGTTATTGATGGAGGACAGTTGATATGAATCATTGCTTTGCACGAACATACAATGACAGTCTTGACTGGAGGAACAACTCATCTCAAGTATTTGTTGTTGAGAATGGATAGTATACTGACTGTTTACTATTTGTAGAAACTTTACGCTCCACTTCTTACAAAATTAGCCTCTTACTTTCACACAGATATTACAAGGCACAAATGGCCCTACCATAAGGTACACTTTCTTGGTTAGGGAAATTTTTTTTTTGGGGTGTAGTTTACTGATAAGAATTGAACTTGAGATGTAGTGTTGCTAAATTTCAGGTGCTATGTGTGACCAATTTCATCCAAATGAACTCTTTCACTCCATTAGAATAAGTTATCAAATTTTGTTTTTAAACCTCATTGAAAGAGCATCTTCACAGAAGTTCATATTGTAATATGGAAGCTGGGCCGGTAATGGGAAATGTACTCTTTCACTCCATCGGGATAAGTTATCAAATTTTGTTTTTAAACCTCAGTGAAAGAGCATCTTCACAGAAGTTCATATTGTAATATAGAAGCTGGGCCAAATTTTCAGAGAGGTATGTCCTAAAGCAGCAACAATTTCAATTTCAAACGCAGTAAGAAATCTTGGTTTGCAGAAGCATGGTCAGGAATCGGACCCCCGAGGTTTGTTCCATACACAAAACCAAGCTAACCTTCTCTTATTGTTCAACTTATACTACACTCACAATCTCAACCAGTGGTTTGAAACAAGGAACAGGAATCGGATTGGGACTTGCTATAGTCCTGACCCCCAAGTTATGAATCTCCGACAAAAAATACAGCCAAATCTTAAGAAAATAAAATACTGGGAACCAGCAAAACTCAGCCGGTACCCCATAGCTTTGGTTCCAAACTCGGCAGCCTGCCAAGGCTGAGCAACTCGACTGAATCCGAATCGGACCAAGTTTTCAATTCACTGATCTCGATTTTCGACTTAACTAGCAATTTGGCCTATTTGTCAAAGAATCACTTGATTCGGATCTCAATTGTCAAACAACCAAGTGGATACGATTCAAAGAAAGTGATCCAATATTCTTTCCCTTTGGAAAAGTAAGTTCACGGCAAAGGACCACACCACATCTTTAAAGTTTAAATAAACTCACATATTATGATAGCATGAATACGGTAAAAATCATAGAGTACACCCACCGGACCACCCAGCTTCACTAGTATATAAGACAATCAGACACAAGATAGGTAAACTCCCTAAGAATCCTCCTATGGGTGAGCCATGCACAAGATCCTCTCTAGTGTGATCCACAGGGTGCTCTCTTGGGGTACCATACACCATAGAAGAATTGCATCGGTATTCATTGTAGGGGCCATTGTTATCACGGGTGGATCGGTGCCTTAGCATGTTAGGTCAAAAATCGGTTGAAATCAATATTTTATCGGTTGAATCCATTCTCGAATGATTAAAATAAAGTTTGGACAATTCTTTTAATAATTTTGTAGCTCAAAATATGATATCGTAGATGTATGAATACTTTGAAAATAAATATATTATGATGTACAGGGCTTGATATACTATTTTTAGGATCGAAATATTCATGGTCGAGATGGATTTGAAAGTTTTCCCATGCCGAAAATGTAATGTAAAGTGAGTTTTGAGCTAAGCTTTATTTTAACCATTTCTTTAATAATGAAGATCCTAACCTGTTTAACTTCGACCTTGGGGAAGCGCTTGGCAAACTTCTCGATCACGCCCTTCCCAAGCGGCGCGCCTCCGCTCCCAATTGTTTCCAATGAGCTCAAATCGTACTTCAACACCTCATCCGCCTTCGCCAGCGCCACCACCAGAGGTGGCGCCACCGGCATATACGTGACCCTGTACTTCTCCACCGCCCTTAAAAGCACCGAAAACTCAAACTTCGGCATCAGCACCATCGTCTCCCCCAGCGCCACCGTTTTCAAAACCATGAAAAATCCGAATATGTGAAACAACGGAACGGTCATCAGCGCGATGGGAGGCGCCGCCCTGTCCTCTGCCTCTGCTTTGTACCCTGCGACCACCGCGATGTAGTTGAGGTGGGACAACAGCACTCCCTTGACCCTCCCCGTGGTCCCTGAGGAGTACAGTATGGTTGCCGGGTCGTTCTGATGGATCTCGGCCTCTCGACGAACAGGTTTCGACGGAACGGCGAGTTCTCTGAATTCGGGGGAATCGATCGCAATGACTCTGTGCCGGAAAGTGGAGGTTTTGTGAGAGAGAGAAAAGTGGGTGAAAGTGAGGACCGGTTTTGAGATTCCGATCTGGTGCTCTAGCTCGGATTCTGTACTCAAGGGGTTTGAGGTGGTGACGATGGCGCCGAGAGAGAGAATGGCGAGATACAGGGCTGGGACATAAATGGAGGGAGAAGAGAGAATGAGGACTGCATCGCCTTTTCGGATGTCTAGGGTGTGTTGGAGGGAGGAAGAGAGAGAGAGGACGAGGGAGCGGAGCTCGCGGTGGGAGATGCGGGCGCCGTTGGAGGCGTCGATGATGGCGGGGGAGTCGGACGGGGGGTAGAGAGAGAAACTGTAGGACGTAATGTCAAGGGGGATACAGGGGGAGGGGAGGAGGAGCGGAGGGTGGAGGCTGTAGAATATGCAGTTCTCTCTGCAGAAGCCGTTCTTTGGGTCGATGGACGAGGAAACAGCCATGGATTTTCTCTCTCTAGATTGAAGCCCGGTTTTTTCCTGGTTTTCTCTCTCCTCAGAAAAGGCAGCCTCTCTCTCTCGTTTTTTAGAGGATTGTATGTCTATATCTATATTTTCAGGAAGAAATGCTCGGTCATTCTCTTATGGAAATTTTTTCAATCTCTCTCCTCTTTTCTCTGTGTCCAAATTTCCTGGTTTGCTCTCTGGTTCCCTCTACTTGTTTTAGGAGAGAATGAATCTTAATCTTCCATTTTCTCTCTTCTGGAGCCTGCTTTCTCTCTCTCTCGTTTTGTGAAGGGGATGACATTGACGTGGGCGTCTTGGACTTATCCATTGGAGTTCCAGATATCCTAGAGAGACAAAATTGAGTAACATTTAATGACTTTGAGAGAAAATGTCAGCTGAATATCACATCAGCGGATGATCTCTAACGGCATCTATCGTGCAAAGCCCCCAAGGTACCGGTGGCAATTGACCCGGACGCGGACCCGCCCCAGGACTCGACGATAAACTTGATCTTGGTTCAGGTATAGGTCTTAAAATTGGTCTTGGTAGGTTGGGTCAAATCTTGGATCCGAATACTATTCAAGTTCCAGTCCGATTGGATCCAGGTTTGAGTCATTTAATATTCTTTAAGTCCCAATATATAAAATATAATTAAATATATAGATAATTTTAGGTGTTGTACCAATAGGTGATAAATGAGAGATAGTAGACTTATTAGGTGTCACACGACAAAAATGGATAAAATTTGAAATGAATCCATTCAAGAAGGTTTATGTGTTACACCAATAAACGTTAAAATGAAAGAGTAAATTTAAGTGGGCTGGTCATGTGTGGCATCGACTCAATGCGAGTTAGTTCAAGACAAGTGAAAATGGAAAGGGGTACGCCCAAAAAAGATTGGTTGGAAGTAACCCAAATAAATATGGGAACTCATGGCTTTAAATAAAGTAAAATGACATATCAAGATTCCTGAAGTCGATCCCAATTAATTGGAATAAAACTACAATAATGATACTGACAACATAAATATTTTAAATTTTTGGGTCACATCCAATAAGAAGGTCTGGGTCCCATAGTATATATTCAGGTTCGGGTCAGTCCGACCCGATCCATCCCACGCCCCTAACCCAGGCTCCTCAAAGAATGATAATCAAAATTCAAGGAGGACTCCATCTACCCTTAGGTCTTGGAGCGCACCATGATGCCAAAAGTCCAGGTGCAACCTAACATCCACTTCTGGTACACCCCACTCTTCCTTAGTGACTAAGAACCACATCCAAACAATTTGCTGAATTTAGTATAACTCTCTGCACGTACTGAATGTTTAGTATAATAGCCATTCTTTATTTTTATGGATGTCAAAATTATTCTAACCATTCAATGGGCTAGACGGCTGGGACTTAAATATTAGGGCTGAAAGCCACGATCATGACGACCTTGAGCTAGGGGATAGCTTGATCGAACCCTATGTTTTTACATCCCTTTGGCTCAATCAAGTTGGCTGTAGGGACCCGGTCTAGGTTGGTATGTAGAGACCCAAAATGGGTTCGAGCTAGGCTTGACCCACCCGGTGTTTCAAAACCAAAGCAGTGGGGTGGATTGTTCATCCACATCCACATATCTATATCAAATCACTAGATTGGCGATATGCATCAGGTCTGGATTGATTCGAATTTATGATCTAGAAAATTAGTAAAAATAATAAAACAAGATAAAACTTAAAACGACGGTTCATGGGAAGGGATTCAAGGAGACCTGAGAAAATAGATAAGCTTAAAATATATATATAAAAGAGGGTGGAAAGAACCGTGTAATAATGGCCCAAAACCGGTTCGGTCCCCACCTATAGCCATCTGATTCAGAACTTAATGATAGAATTACAAATATGTTTTTCTTGCAATTACAAACTATTGGTGATGTAATTTGCATACTTGTAAGGGTATTTTTTTTGTCAAAATTTTAGAGTAATAAATTCTCAGTTTATAGTTAGTATAGTTTATTATTGGTCCCAAAAAGAATAGGTTTCATTATTTGCTACAGCAGGTGTAACCTAGTTTTTCAAACTCGAGTCAGTGGGGCAAATAGTTCACCCACAAATCCGTGGATTTGTCAAATTGCTGGTTTGACAATCCAGTTTGGGTATGGACGATTTGAATCGGTGACCCATGAAAATATTAAAATAAATATAATAAAAACAAAATTTAAAATAAAGATTTATGGGATAGGCATTTAAGAGAGACTTTTATATATATATATATATATATATATATATATATATATATAAAAGGGGTTTTTAGGGGGAATTGAGTTGGGCCCTTATCATCCCCAAACCGACTCAGACTCGACAATTCCTATCCAGCGCGACAATCACAATGATAAGAAATGGCTAAGTTTTAAAATGCAATGTTATATTTATACGTGTGATAAAGTTTATGTAAAACATAAATTTGTAAAAGTAAGGTGTACCCCAAAAACCAAGTTGTTGGAAGAACCCTTTTCACTACTTATAGAAATGAAATTGCGTTATTTTGTGCGATCAATTTTAGTTGGATAACGGATACACTTTTATGCACAATTACATTTAGACCATTCATTTTTATGTGCAATCGAATTCATCACCGTTTTCAGATCTTCAAACTTTAAAACTAGGGAAAAAATAGACTCTCATCCCATTTTCCAACACCAAAACTCCATGAGCGTATACCATGTTCCTATTAGAGTGCATTGTGCACGTATTCCCTCAGGCGGAAGACTAATTTTAGAAGATCTTTTCTATCCAAAATTTTAGGAACCACTTAAAATCACTACATTATTATATTTTAAAAAAAAATGATTTTTTTAACATTAAGTCTTACCCTTAAAAAATTTGACAGAATATTGAAGCATTATTTTTTTCAAGCCCATAGAGGAAGCAATCTGGAGTTTTTTAATTGAGTATAGCATATGGTTGAAGAGGATAAATCCTCAAAATTTAAGGCCCTACAAGTACTCCTAGATTGAGTTTTGCATGTTGAAGCAATGGACAGTATACTCCCTCAAAAGCATAAAATCTTTTGGCACCTATGCTCGAATCCGAATTCATTTAGGTAAAAGGGACCAAGAGAGGCCACTAGACATCACTTTCGTCATCAAGAGCCCCAGATATTAATTGGTACTACTGTTGGTAGTACCCAAATTTGGCATTTCTTAGATTTAGAAGCATTAAATTTTTTTTGGGTCGAATGTGGGTGCAAAAGAGCAGTGAGATAAATATGAGAAGGTAACATACGCTTAGTGTTTGAAAAATTGGATTAGCCGAGCGAACAGGCTATACGAGAAGCACAACATTTCTCGGGTGTGAGATTCGGTCCATAAATAATAATAATAAAATAAGTAAATAAATAATAAAACTAATAATAAGAAGGATAAATTACAAAAATCCCCGTTTGACTCACTCTAAACAACCTTTCCCAATCAAGTTTTTGTATGACAACTTTACTTCAAAACTAATTTTTATAGCATATACCCCCGAGTTAATCTTGACCATTGGATGTGAAATTGGGTGGTTGCATTTATTTCATTGACCACACTCAAAGTTCAAAAGACATTTTTTCAAACTTTGTGATACATCCAAAGCTATCAGAATTCACACATCCAAAGCTATTAAAATTCACATTAGATCTAAAAAAAAAATCATAATTTGGAGCATAAAAATACCCTTGCTCGTACATAAAATAAGTAATAGAAGGAGTGCTTCTTGTAAAGCAATTTTGGACCACCAATTTTCAAGTGTTTATATATTTTCTTGATTTACATTATTTTTGAAACTTTAAATTTTATACATCAATAAAAAAAAATGTATTGAAACATCTTTCAATACTTTTTCACAAATAAAACATCTTTTAATACTATTTGAAGGTGCACCTTAATTGTTGAGGGCCTCAACATTATACAACCTACACCATTAGGGGATTTTTAAAAGCAAAAGTAGCTTATGTGTTGGGGGAAGATGGATGCAAGTGATGGTCTCTCCAAAGAAAGCTAACAATTTTCTACAAAAATTTGTTGACAATAGTGAGGGACAAGGTTTTCATGAGTCCGCCGACTCATCTATTTACATTAGTTATCCTACCAAAGTTCTTCTTAGAGATGAGTTTGGTTTTAGAAATTTAGGGATTGATAATCTCCGCCGACTCATCTATTTACATTAGTTGTCCTTCCAAAGTTCTTCTTGGAGATGAGTATGGATTTAGAAATTTAGGGATTGATAATCTCCACCACGGTGAATATAAATATAAAAATAATTTGTTAAAATAAAATAATATTTTTTTGATGTATTTTTAGGACCCTTCACTTTAGATATTAGTGGGACTAACATTACCAAACATCCATATTTGATATGGATGTTTGGTGTATTTAGGGATACCTAAATATGGATGTTTGGTGTATTTGGAGATACCTAATCATCCCTTAATATGTGGAATGCTTGCAGTTAAGTGTGGAAATATTTTCACACTAATTAGTTACCAACAATAGATGAATTTGTATGAAAATATTATCACATCTAACCACATGAGAAAATGATTTCGTATGAAAATATTTTCTTACCAAACAAATTTGCAGTGTAAACTCCCTAAAAAAGATCCTACCTGTGGGTGAACCATGCACGAGATCCTCTCTAGTGTGATCCACATAGGGCATTAGACACAAGATACGGAAATGCTCTCTTGGGGTACCGTACACCATAGAAGAATGCACCGGTAATTATTTTTGGGATCATATTTATCATGACTGGATGGTACGGGACCAGATCGGTGCCTTGCTGATCTAACCAAAGCAAAACTTGAGTTTTAACATATGGACCTAGTTTTTATGAAATGTTCGTCTATTAATTAATTTATTTTTAAAATGGATTTTAAGATTTATTGTTTAAAAACATGTACTATTTAACATCGAGATCGTGTATATGAAAAAATAAAAAAAATAAATAAATAAAAATAGCAATTTTAATAAAAAACATTTGGACCGTTAATTTCCATTGTTTTTTAAAAGAATATCTATTTGCATAAAGATGGGTGCTTTACACTTTATGAATTGCTTTTATAGAAATACCGTTCAGCCCACATAAAACAATTTTTTTAATATATTTTATAATTTAAAATAATAATAATAATTATTATTATTATTTTGACTAATAAGACCACAATCCAATCCAGATAACATTGTTGGGACCTAAGATGCTTCCCATGAAATCTTGTCCTCAAAACACTTTTGGGCATGGGAAATCTCAATGATGCTCTAACATCAATGTCAACGGATTTTGTAGCTTAAAGAACAGCATAGATTATGTGGATCCATTAATACTCGTGAATAGTCCACATCATGTTATATAATAAATATTAGTTTTAGGGCTTGAAATCTTACTATTTTTATGGTCATAATATTCAAGGTCGAAATGTTCATGGTCAAGATGTTCGAATTGAAAGTTTTTTAATGTTGAAACTATAATATCGTCGAATTGAAAGTTTTTTTATGTTGAAATTGTAATGTAATGTAAAGTTTTATTTAACTTTCATTTTAACCTTTTCGAGCACATTCCGTGGCAACATTATTAAAGGAGGTTAATTAAATTTGTTCGAAATTACAAGCATCAACTCATTTAACGTAAATAATAATAAAAATAAAATAAAAAATAAAACTAGTTGACAACGCAAACACTAGAACGGGTTTTAAACATGGGTAAAAGAAAAAGAGGATGAAGAGGTCACCTGTCTAACTTCAACCTTGGGGAAGCGCTTGGCAAACTTCTCAATCACGCCCTTCCCAAGCGGCGCGCCTCCGCTCCCAATCATTTCCAATGAGCCCAAATCGTACTTCAACACCTCATCCACCTGCGCCAGCGCCACCACCAGAGGCGGCGCCATCAGCATATACGTGACCCTGTACTTCTCCACCGCCCTTAAAAGCACAAAAAA